TTTCCCCCTCTTGCCCTTCTCCTGTTTACCTGCACCCACAGAGGTGCATAAAGCCTGCTATGGCAGATACACTTTACTAAGCACTTTTTAAAGTGGAGCTGGTTTATATTCCCTTATTAATGTAACGTTATATGTAAGCTGAAATTCTAGTTTGTAAAAAATTATCAACTTCTATGGCAAACTGCCTAAGTAAAATAAAGTCTTACTAGCAGTATGACTTGTTGCTGTAAAACAACAGCCAGTAATGTCAGGAGATTTCAGTCCACATAGAGAATTTGTCTAAATTAATTTCAGATGCTTATTACAAAATAGGAAGTAACGTAATTTCTGGCAGAACTACTGGCAGTGAATGTATTGATGCATTGTTGCAATATCTCAGACTCCTTATTATATGGAAATTAATTCTTTATAAAAACCAGCAACAAAACTAGCACTCACAGAAAACAAAATCTAGTCGGAGATCAATGTAATGATGTAATAGTTATTATTGAAACAGAAAAGTTATTATATCACAGTATTTGTGAATATGATTTAAAATTCATTTAGTTCTTTGGATATGAAGGGAACTTGGTCTAAATGAAACAAATCTCATAGCATCCCTCTGTGTGCTCATCTGCACTCTCAGACTCTCCAGACTACAGAAAAGTGAATTGGTTGAAGTTCACGTTCCCCATCTGCCCTGACTCCCTCATACACAGACCTAAAGTCATGGAAATCAATAGCCCAGATACTCAAGCGTTGGCTCAGACCTGAATGCATTGTGAGGCTGTTCAAAACCAGATCTGTGCAACAAGATCCCAGCAATGTTTCAGGTGCCTCTGCCGGGAAGGGGAGAAATGTGATGCCTCAGATAAATGGATCCCATGCCAGTCAGATCATTAAAATCTTTCCCTCCTGCTTGCGCTCCATTCAGATCCCGCATTTTGTAACTCGTCTCCTCCAGGACACCGAAAATAATATGTTCTCTACGTTTTTCCCCCAGCAGTGAAACAAAAGCAATGGGGCACTAGCAGTCAAAGGACATTCACAGGCCTGCAGAGGGAGAATGCTGCAGAGAGAAAATCAAACTCTACAAAGGTAAAATAAATAAATAATGTTTAGAAAACAGTCAGCAGAATGCATTCAGGTTTAAAAAGCAATTGTCGCTTGCTGAGCAGTGTATTTGTGCTTGGTTTTGGTTAGCTAGGTTCAGCTTAGGCAGCAGAAACGCCACATGAAATGATGGCTGAAATGCTGTGATTCTTTAGGCAGTGTTCTGCCGGTGGGGGGGGGAAAGGTATGTTTTCTGGGGGCAAAAATGTTTTTTAAAAATATCCCAGGAGACTACACAGAGTGGTTTCCCAGATATCAGCATACTCTCTCAGATGTTCTCAGGTAAAGTCTGAGGTTTTCAGTTCACCAAAATTTCTTTATGTAAGTGCCTATTTTCTCACAATAGGCAGTGAAGCTTGAAAACTCCCCAAAAGCAAAAGATCAGCTCGTCAAGCCTTAAAGATCCGTTTCCTTGTCAAAGGCTGGGAGGAGGGACTAATCTGAATACTGCAGCATAAAGAGGAAAAGCAAATTGCTGTTCAAAATATTAGTGCATGAATTTGAGGCTAATCAGAAGCGTTTTTTTGCATGCCTTTGGACTCTTGCAGGAGGTTTCCATCTGTGTAGCACTTAAGAAATAAATGGCTCATAAACCACTGGAGGACATGAGATGCATCAAAAATAAAGTATTTCAAGGGACATTCTTCAAAAAAGGAAAGAGAGAATTTTGGAAGCCATGCAGAGGTCTTAAACCTGTAGGTGGAAGTAAATACAGTGCAGAAAATATGGGAAAATGTTGTTACAAACCGTGAAAGAAACAGAGAAGGAAGAAAACGCTTTCCCTGGGGCTGTAAAATTATTGAATTGTCAAAACCACAGGCAGCTAGTTTAAAGAACTGATAAAAATTACCTGGCATTTCACCCTGTTAATAAACTCTTGATCTACCTCTACCTCTTTGGGGTCCCCTCAGCAAACATCAGCTACAGAAAGAGTTGTAGAGAGAGACATGGGGCTGTGAAGACCGCAAGCAGAAAGAGAAGGCACAGGCCAAAACCAAAACAGATAGCAAACACCTGCGACCTGGTTTCGAGAACAGTGGCAGCCCAGTGACTAACAAGAAGAGCAGTAATTAACAGGAAAAAAAAAAATCAAGTGAATGTATTTCTTTAGCTTCACCAGTTAGCTGTTGTTCTTCAGGCTGCATATTAAAGCAGATGTATTTTATCACTATCCAAACTCATCAGTATTTGTTAAATTGATTATTAGATGATAGATGCTCAGATACCACTGAGATGAATTCACAATGAACATGAGCAATGCAGGCTATCAAATTTCACCTAAACCCTTCCAACACCCCCTGTCTGTTTAGAGAAAGGAAAAAAATGCTCCTATCTGTTACAGTCACCCAGTTTTGTTCAGTCCTCTAGCTCGGATAACGAACCACGGAGTACTAATTACTCCGTAACGAGCACGGAGTACTAATTCTTATGGCTCTGCAGAACTTTTGTCCTGAATATAAATCATGAGCCCAGGTAAAGCCCGCATGTATCGGATCAACATGAAGGAGGCCCTCAAATGAACTTTCATACTGGCTTGCTACTCCTCAGCATGCACGTGACAATTCCCCGGCTTTTTCCTATGAGCGCTGGGCAACCCGAGAACCTGGGGCTGCAGCAACCTAATCAGCCACATTTTCAGCAGCAGAGAGATTAGGTCAGCTGCTTTATTGCATGTGACTTACGTAACCAGTCATCTGGCCAAGTAATGTTAAGCAAGAGGGAACTAATGAATTAAAATAGTACCCGGATCCCTTGTGGGAAATTGTATCGCTTTTGTGGGAGGGACCGTAAAGAAGTTTTTTCCATGCTTGCAACTGATGATCTTGTGCACAAGCAGTGACCTCGATGCCCTCCGCAGCCCGTGATGGCACGTTTGTACTCTCAGGGTAATGATCCGTAATACATTTAAATGCATTTTAAATTCTGGCAGACTGTCGTGAAAGAGCAATCTGGAATCTGAAAGTGACAATTGCCTTTGACGCATCCTTTTTTAAACAAATGCAACAACCACAAATCCCCACTGCAGCAATGGGTTAAACAAGTAGTGAAAACTATAGTATAAAATGTGAATTTCTAGTGTTAATGTTTTTTAACGTTTTAGCATTGGAGTGAGCAGGTTTTCACAGCGCTCGCCCAGACAATTCAGAGCCGATTATTAAGAATGTATGTTTTTAAATGGCAAAAGACTAGCATGAATAGAGAGCTAAGAAGAAACCGTGAACAAAACTGTCTTGTACGGTAGATGATAAATGCGAAATAGTTACATGTGTTAGGATGGAATATTTTGATAATTTGGATCTCTTCATTTGCAGGAATCTCTGGCATCACAAAATGCCAAATTGATTTCACCTATGGTCATTTCACAGATGACTGATGAGAATAAGTCAGGAGAAAACGGGTCTGCTTTGTCTACGTACATAGGTGCTTATCCTGCGAAGCGCTCTGTGGCTAACCGTGGTTCCGTCAACGTTCACAGCACATTCACGTTGCCTCCCAGCAGGATAGAAATTCATGCATCTCTGGATGACGCTGTGGCTCGACCAGACTCCCACATTGTGGAGGAAGACCACTATCCAAACCAGCAGAGAGGATTTGCCTCCATAACCGTTACTGCTCGGCGTGTCGGTGGGCCCGGGAGCGCCCCAGTGCCAGGGGCTCCACCACGCGGGGAGGGCGATGCGCGCGCCAACGCCAACGCTGTGCCTACCCCAGCGAGCGAGGCCGGACCTGCTCCCTGGGGCAGACCTCTTCCAAGCCAAGGGTCTCATGGAAATCGAACCATTGGTGACTTTAAGGTTTCTGAATCATGCCCACGGCCACATGATGGTCCTCAAGACCAGCTTTTCAGCTCTAGAAATGAAGAAACCGGAGTGGTTCTTCAAGGCAGCACTTGGAGAGGAAAAGTACTGCCTTCGTTCACCTCATGTGTTCATCTTCGAGTTTCCCAGCTGTGTCCAAATACTATCTATTATTTAGACAAGTCACTCTATGTGTGCATTGACCAACCTCAAATTAAATGCCAAAAAGTTCATAGATCAGCATTGTCCTTCCATATAAATTGCAGTTCATCTAGATTAACAGCAGATGGAGTAGATGGCATAGCTAATGGAGAGCCATTAGCGGAGATACTTAAGTCAAAGCTCCTAGGAGGAAACAAGACTCCACTCAGAGCAAGCTGGAGTGCAGATTTAATAGAAAACAATGCAATTAAAAAACAGACAACAGATGAGGGCTATATGGGTACTAAATACCCTTTGAAAAGTGTCTTTCCCTCTGAACTTTCAGCATTTGTGGATATACCCAAAGGAGCTAATAATGTAGTAGCAGTAAAGAAAGAAGATAATAAACAATCTGGCAGCAATCACACTACATTTTCTCTCCAGCTTCCTAGCCCAAGTTATGAGGCAGGTAAGTGATTTATGTATGGTAGATCAGAGGTTCGTACTGGAACAGACCCACCAGAATGATTTTGTGTGAGCAGATAATAATAATCCTTGCTTCTGCAAATGCACGATGAGTCAGAGCACAAACCAGACATTTTAAGTTCCAGGACTACTATGAATGTATTTGCCATGCTGGTGATGCACACCACTCATCATCAGATGATGTTAGGCCTTTCTTTTTAGAAGGGCTGAGTTTCGAAGCCTGGGATTAAGGAGGAGATGGCTGGACTGAGCTTGGTTTTGTGCTCCTTATGATTAAATATGAGTTTGTTTTCCAGCTTTAATTTAGAAGTAATAAGCCCAGAGCTTTATAACTCATGGCTCCAGGTAAAAGTTTCACACATCTTTGGCACATTTATTCCAAATATCTCCAAGCATTTTGCAAACATAAAATTTTCCTCGCAACATTGCTCTCAGGAAAGGGAAAGATACTGTGGGGATTGCTTCGTGCACTGAGTGGTACAGCTTCCACTGCAGTGGGCTGTAGCAGCTACTCTGCAGTGCACTTGAATAACTGCAGCTCAGTTTATTGACTCTACAGGAAGCGAATGGGGATGGGAGGAATGTCAATGAGGGAGTCTGGTTTTACTAAAGGCACCAAGGTTAGACCTTACTCCCCATGTACCCTGGGCTACATTCAGTTGCAATTATGTTGTGCTCATACAGCTTTTTTGATCTAATGGTCAGTGTATGAGCTATAAGCTTCCTTCGTACCTTTATTTTCCCAGCTCGCAAATGGGGAAAAAAAAGGAGAAAGATGAAAAGTTGCAGGCTGTCTCATTTGCTAGAATATGATGTAAAATCTAGGCTGAGCTGTTTTCTTCCTTCTTGTTACTGCTGCACTCGCTTTCCTTTTTTCCCTTGCCTGAGATCTGTGGTAGGACTCCTGTAATTATCAAGGTGAAAACAGTGAGAAGGCGCTGCCTTATTCGGAGACCTCCTGCTTTAATCACAAAGAAATTATCTGTAGAGCCAAAATTTGGCACAGAGAAACTAGTGGCATTGGTAATTCTGGAGTCAGGCCCGTAAATCACAGCAGTGATTTAAGGTGCTTAGCCACGGGGTTTCCCTGGCTGGATGTTTAACTCCTATGTGTTTTTAAGTACAATCCAGACCGTTTGCTTTTGGAATGAAGGGGAAATGACAGACAGTGGTGAGCAAGAGAGGGACAATGACAACGGGTGGTAAAGGAAGGTAAAGAAGTTTAAGGTGGTGATGGTTGGAGAGGGATTTTCCCTGATCGACACCAGCAAAGTAAGTCATTGGGCTTTGTTGTATAGTAGCCCAATTTGAAATAACAATGTCCTTCTGAGGTTTTGGTAGGAAGTACTGTGTATTCAAGGGTTTGTTCAAAACAATTTAAAGTCTTTTTGTGACATATTACAGAAATAAGGATTCAAATAATACTGAGATTTCCCTGGACTCAGAAATGCATTGGTGGCCATGAAAAAAATCGCTTTTACTAGCAGTAATTAGAAAGTGAAATAGAAGATTATTCATAGTTCCCCCAGTTTTACTGAAAAGCGGAAATAAGTGAGGTAACCACCTGAGAAATACTACTTTTTAAAAGATTGCTTCCACCATTTGTGTACACAAGAATGCAGGTGTAAATATGTGCGGGAAGTGTTACCTTTTTAATAGCTTCCACCATTTGTGTGCACAAGAATGTAGAATGCAATGTATACACTTTTCTTGATCAGACCCTTTGTAATATATAGCAAGGTGTTTATCAGCTTACCACAACTTTCCTGTGTGAAACCTGCATGCGCAGCCAGCATAATGCTTCCAAACAGCAGTCTTTCTCCCTAGCCTCCCAAAAGTAATGAGCTCTCGAATAGCTGTCAACGATTCAATGGGACAAATGATAAGAAACCTACTTAATTTCGTGAGACATCTACACCACTCATTAAAATGAAAGACAACTGGGAGGATTTTAACCTGAGAAAATGAAACCTTGAGCTCTCTTTAGTTCCCAGAATCACGAAGTGAGAAATGGAGATCCAGTGGGTCAAATATCCCAGTCTGGTGCAGTCCTAGAGCCTGTGATAAGGCTTTTGTCTGAACTAGTTTTAAATATTTGAATAAATGAAGCTACAACAGGAAGCTGTTACCTTCCTGCTGTGGCGCTTCTGCGTCTACAGCTCAAAACTGCAAGATCTTTGTTGCAAGATGCTGCTTTACAAACCAGCAAAGTCCCCCATATCACAACAGATTCCCAGTTGCTTTAGGTGTTTTTTTCCTCCGTAGTTTTCCAGATGAAATCCATTCAAACTTTGGTTTGTCATATGTTTATGAATGGAAACGTTTGTGAAATGAAAAGTTTAAAAAAGAAGGAAGCACTAGCAAAGAAGAGGCAGCAAACAACTCTTTACATCCTGACAATACTTTCACATAGTCCATTAACTTAGTACTTTAACATCCTATAGATGAAGGAACCGAGGAAGTTTGCCCAGTTTCCTTTGTCTTTTATGTTTTTGATGACCTGGAAAGCTTAAGTTAGCTTGCACCTGTAAGCCAGGGCTTCCCACCAGCGAAATCACTAATGGTAATAGCATCACCTTGGCCAAAACAATCAAAAAATGGCATTTGAGGCTAGACTTTTCTGTATGAAATCTGTTCATATGTTTTCTAGGATGTGCAGTCTGTCTTACTAGGACCCAGAGGGGAACGAGCGCTCAAATACTTGTCCGTTTTTCAGGAACCAGGGCCAGGCTTACTGTTTCCAGTGGGGCCAGCCGAGTCATGGGCTCTTTGGCATTTCTTTTATTAAGTTTTCATGTGTCCTCACTAATGTAATGACAACTATACATACAGTATTACTCATACTATTTCATCTTCAAATCCAAATATTCAAAACTTGGCTTTACATGGCCCTGGATAACCTAATCTAAGGCTCTGCTTTTGACAGGCTGGACCAGATGGTCTCCAGAGGCATGCATTTCCACTGTGTGCCACATATGAAAGGTGTATTTTTAGGCATATTTAGGAAATGTAAGTCTTGGACAATGCTCAGGGATGTTATACTGAGAAGTCCAAAACTGTCAGTCTCAGTTTGTGTTCAAAGCCATGTTTCATGCTCTATCATCCCAAAGTTGAATTATAACCTTGTGGTTTCACCTTCGCGGGCTGTATATGGCACTGGTTGCATTGCTTTGGATGCTTTACTTCCGTTATCCGGCAAGGAACGGGATAAGTCCTGGAAAATCCACGTTGTGCGTGAAGTCAGACTTGAGCCACCTGAGGGCATAGATTTGTAGGACACATTTATTTTTAATGAGCGGTCAGCATCTAAACTCCTTGGACGGCTCAGAGAGCATCTGCATACTTTAATGTGAAATGTCACCCCGGAAAGCCCCACGGCTCCCTGTGGAGGAGAAACGGCGGGGCTCGCAGCCCCGGGTTGTCCCAGCGTCCCAGGTGCTGCGCTCCCCGGCCTTGGTGACGTCGCCTCTCTAGGAGGTCCTCGCAGGAGGTAATAAACGTGCATCATTGTGACTTCACTCGTAACTCTTAATAAGTTGTCAGAGCTTGCTAAAATTGCTTCTGAGTGAATGCTGCCATGCCCCTTACCTTTTGTAGCTGATGTCTTATAAATACAAGGTAAGTTAAAAATGGAAAGATTAGTCTTGTTTCTGTTGAAGACAGGAGCATCTTTTAATCTCAGTTTCTCACCTACCTTTCACAAAGAATATATTCCACATGAATATCTAGTTTTCCATTTATTTGTTACAACATATTACCTGCTTAGTGCTATGTTGAATTATTAAAAAGAGGCAGGCAGAAGAAAATGGGACACTTTTAAATTCATTTTGACCTTTTGATTAAACAAAATCATCACTTTACTGGGTGAGATCATAAATGCTAACTTCTAAACTGATCTGTGTAAGCTTGGATCGTCTTAAACTTCTGAATGTCTGAGCACCTTAAACTGCAGTTTGTAAGCTGAAATAATTTCAGCCAACACTTCAGGTATTACAAAAACTACACTTTTGTCTTCCTTTTGTTGTCACACCTAAAACCGCTGTGCAGAGTTATTAGGGAAGAATAGCTGAGGTGGCAAGAAACACAAATAATAAAATACTCTTGAAATACGGAAAACAGTGAGAAAGAACAATTTTGTGGCATTGTAGTTGGTTATACTTTTTCCCAAAGAGAATGGCAGGTGACACGAAAGCATCATTTATTTAATTAAAGCAACATAAGACAGGGTATAGGAAACTTGAAATTGGGTCTGGCCTTTGGGGGTGTTGAATAGCCCCAGAGGATTACAGGCTTGGTTTCCTTCTAAAAGTGAGTTTCGTTCGGAAGTGCCAAAGCCAGCAGCAATTTATTAAGTTTTGCTAAAGGGGAAATAACTAGATTATGATTTATTTCAAGATGGTATTTTAAAATTTTTATGAAGGGATGTGTATGTGTGGGTGTGCAGGTCTAGATATTAATTCATAATCAAAATATTTGGTATTTCTGTTGGTGTAAAGCATTTTTAAGCCTATCATTCACCAGAGTGCTTGGTGCTATGGGATTTTGAATACGCTGTTACCTGCAATGCAAAAGAATGTTTTCATTTTAAATATACATTGAATACCCCTCATATTTGAGACATTAAGTGTATCAAGAAAATACTTGTAGGTTACCTTTAAATTAATATACGCTCCTGGTAATCAGGATTGGCTGATGTTGGCAGTCTTCAGGCTGAAAAGTCTCAATAATATTGTACTTTAAGTTATTAAATAGCATTTTAAAAGTTGTGATGAATGAATGTAGGCATATCTGGTGTTCTCACCTCATCTTCTGTATATTGGAAACTCACCACACAATAACCCAGAGTACAAGATTAGTTGGAAAATGTATATATTCTTGAGCAAGATATAATTAGATGAAAGCTGTTCATTACAATATGGAATTTATTGTATAGAAACTTGACTAGCTCCAGCTGATGCTAATTAACTCTCCAGCCTGGGAATG